AAATGAAGGCCCTGTCAATGTGAATTTTCCTTTGCAATTACATGCACATGTACAGTGTAGATATTGACAAAATTTAAATTAAAATAACTGAAAATTAAAAGTGCATATTTAGCAATATACATTCACTTCTGCAACAAAAACTAAAAGAGACGCGATCGGAACAGATGGAAAATCTCAAGGCTTTACAGATTTCGAGGAATGGAATGGGAATTTTGAAGAGGAGATTTAGATAGCATAAGTGTCTGGAAAGGATGCAGTGACTACACGAGTGTGAAGTTTGACAACTTCTAATCTCATAAATTAAATTGATGTCAATCAATCACTTGCAGAAAAGAATACGGGCTAACAAAAAAACCTGAAATGCTCAACTTTGTTGCTTTAATCTTTTATTCATAAATACCTAAGACAGTTTACCCATTCCTATTGGTCAAGAGCCTGTCATGTGAGTGGTTTTAAATGGTTGATAAAACCCCAACTGGTTTCAAACACTTTATTCCTGCACCGCTGCGTTCTGCGCCACATCGCGCAGTACGCCCCATCGCGCAGTACGCCCCGGGCGCGCCAATGTCCATAAAAGGAGATTCAAGTTTAACACTATACGAGTGCGAGGCACATACATGTACCATAGACATGGCAAAAGGGGTGTTTCACAAAAATATGATGTAAATCGATGAAAAAAATCCTTGGAAACTTGTGAATGTTTAACTTGTTTTGACTTTTTGACCGAAAGGTATTTATGAATGGGAATTGTGCTTGGCCTGTCTCAAACAAGTATGTTTAAAAATGGCTAGGGGTCTGGACAGGGATAATGATCCGAGCCAAATATCAGCGTCCAGTCTCCTAGCCGGTTTTAAACGTACTTGTTTAAAACCGGCCAAGCACATATTTATTCCCTTAATGCAAATGGCAATAAAATTGGTTTGAATATGAAATCTATTTTAGCATGATGTTAACAGCCAGGGTTATGAGTGCACACAAATAAAAGGATGTACCAACTAATGGATGTAAACATTTTAACGTATAACCAGGCTTAGTACGTTAAAAAAAAATTGTTTCTTTCATATAAAAAGCATTGTTGATCACGTTGAGAAACTAAGAATTATTCAAGAGCATGGTTCATCTTTTCACTAAAATCTTGTTTTTAACGAACACATTTTTGTTTTCTGAGAATTTCTCAATATTTTCTGAAACTTTCTTGTAATTTCCCAATATTTCCAAACCAGATTGACAGCTGGGAAAAAAAATTAGTGACACAGAAATCAAAAATAGTTCTTCAAACCATGCACGTACTCCAAAAAAATTAGAAAAATGGTACTTATGAAAGGCACCACACCTCATGTGACAAAAATACCATCAACATTGCTTTCCCAGCAGGTAGCAACCTCCAAGATGTGCACAGCGAGATAAAATAAGTAACCACTTAATTAACTGGGGATACAGTAACAGTTCCACGAACCATTGACGCAATGTCTACTCATACTGACCAATACCAATTCCACGTGGGCATTCCTGTTTGGGTCAGCAACTGAATCCCGCAACAACTACGTCAAAGTTAGCCTCACCGATTCTCAGAAACCCACCTAAGAATTATGAAGTTGTTTACCGTGATATTTGACAGAAATAATGCAAACAAGAACATTTATCTTCAATTATAAAATTTAGTACCTCGACCTCGCAGGAACCTGCTTGTATGTTATACAAAGATGTAGGGCAGTTCCATAAATAACACACGGAAGAATTTGAACACTACAAAAAAAGTTAATTGACATACCTGTAAATTAAAGTTTAGGGTCACGAGGTTGTAATTTTATGGCATGTTGCTTGTAATATCGTGGATTTTTCTGCATTTGTTTGATTAGCCTGACATTTAATTTGAAGATAAAATATGTCACTTCTCAGAATACAATATTTATTCTCTTCAAACAAAATCGTATTTCATCCAGATAGAAATCCTGAGCCATTGTGTAGACTTCCATTTCCATAGACAATGTGGTGTTAGGATTTTTACGATTCCTCCTTGCCCTAAAACTGTGGGCTGATGTTACTAATAAGTACTTACCCATAGACTCTTTTCTCTTAGCAAATAACTAGTGCCTACTAAGGTATTATTGCACTATGGGTAAGATGAACGCAGTGGAGTTTAGTTAAAGAGGTTGTGGAATGCTTGATGACATTTCCGTCATTTTTGGGGTATATGTAGCCTAAGGTGTGATGAAATAAAAACGACTATTGTGTCTTTCATGAAATGAGTACAAAAGGTACTTTTGAGAGCTGTTTTTCAGGTCCAGTTTCGACCCGAAATGCAATTTGTGTAAAAGTCGTCGTTGGGGGCAGCAAACAAAACATAGTAAATCGTGACGTAATAAACAGGACTCGTTTATACTACGCTGCATCGGGAGTCCTGTTTATTACGTCACGATTTACTACGATTTGTTTGCTGCCCCCAACGACGACTTTTGCACAAATTGCACATTCGGGTCGAAACAGGACCTGAAAAACAGCTCTCAAAAGTACCTTTTGTAGGCCTACTCATTTCATGACAGATACAATAGTCGTTTTTATTTCATCACACCTTAGACTACATGTACCCGAAAAATGACGGAAATGTCTTCGTTTTATAGTGGACCTTTCGGACAGATCCTATGGAGACCAGACCAGGTCGCTAGCCACGCCATGCATCGCTACAACTACAGCACAGACCAGAATAATGATACTGCGACGTGCAATGTGACAACTAATACATAGGCTATAAGTAGCGCATGATGGAGCTTCTGCTAAAAATATCCTGTTGAAAAACCATCTATAGAATTCTTTTGTCCAAAGATAACATGCAGCATATTTTGAGTAAAACTAAAATATCAATTGCAAGGGAAATGTGGACGGCCCTACGGCTAATTGGGGGGGGGGGGGAGGGGGGTTTGTTCAATGACACCCCCCTCCCCCAACCCAGCTACAGGCCTGGTGAAAATTACATTTATTAGGTACCGGTGTTGCCCACTGCAGAAAAGCAAGAAAGAATTGCGGATTTTTACCTACAGTGTACCGGTATGTACATGTACGTCTCTGACGACTTTCTTCAATATGTACACTTACAAATATCACGCACCCTTGCTGCGGAGATTCCAAGCCCCATATTATTTACAGCTTCTTATGACCTATTCACTGACACAGACTCTTCCTCTAGTACTCTCTGACCCAGTTTCCTACTCTAATTGGCAACTCTAGAGGTCCTAAATAGCCGCCCAGGCCCAGGGGCAATTTTCTTTTTGCATCTCAGTGAAGTAATTGATCTAATACGCATGCTCGAATCACATCACGTGAACGAATAAATATGTCACCTGATTCGGATTAAGTTCTTATACTTTATATTCCACGGCGCTCAGCGTGGTTTCGCTATAGCCTGCTGCATTACTTTTTTCTTCTTCTTTTTTTTTTTTTTAAATCGGTAGTCTGAAAGCTGCAGGTTCCGGGTTTCGAATCTTAGAGGAATTTTACTTTTTCATTTGTTTTTCCCAAATGTGAATTTTCTTCCCTAAATTGTGTTTCATCAAGTCTTGATGATCGATAAAATAAATTGCACCCTTTTCTTCTCATTCGTAGCTCTGGGGGATTTTTAAAAGGGAAGTTCTTGCTTGACATGTGATCTGACTGCTGGTGACTAGCCTTTGTTAAAAGTATAGCACTTGCGGGAAGTGGAAGTGAATTTTGACTGTCTGTGACTGCTTAAATAGTGGAAGTTTTAAGGACTGCATCCGAATTATAAAATCAGAGATGTCAGATCAGATGTAACATGCACAGGACAAAATGTGAACCTCATAATGCCTAGTTTGCTCCTTGGCCATATTCATGTATGCCGTTATCATTTCCTTCCTGCCACCAATATAATTAATCCTTATCTCATCATAAACAACATTCTAACTTAAGGATTTCAGATCCTTCTTGAGTGAAGGACATCGAACATAGATAAATTCTCTCAAAGAAGATGTTTTTTTATTGGCTGTATATCTGGCTGACAAGCACATGATAAGAGGATACATAAATAGCTTTGGGGTGTAGAGGAAGTTGATTGTATGGAAAAGTAATTGAAACTCAAAATGAAAACAAACATCAAGTCGCAAGGATAGAAAGTGACGCTCTTAGATATGAGATGCTCTAAGATATATGAGATGTGGTTTCATTATTAAAACAGGAAAGTAAGTGTCGATTACATTGAAAAGTTATAAGCATTCCAATTGGAAAAGTGGGTTATATAGTTGAATGTTGGTATTCAATGTATTTTGATGGCTCATCCATCGCACTACTAATAAAAAGAAAGTAATTTTCTTCAAGGCTGCTTCCGGTTTCGAGGAAAACCACAACTATTCAATCTCAAACATATGTTGAAAAAGACTTCCGGTGATATTTCGGAAGGAATGTTGCATCCTGAAACCACTTTTTGTTATCATATATTATCTCAATCAAGGTCAGTCAATGCAAAAATGTTGAAAATACATGAATCTTGGACTGAGAAACATTTCCAATTTTGTTAGAAAATACTTTGAAAATGCACTCGACTCTACATAGACTTTGTACTCAACCAAAGAAGTGGCGTCTGGAAACTACATTCTCTCCTATATTTCATTGCATTAACAGATGGCAAAATTTCTACAACACGGTAACACAAATGCTTAAGCTACAAGTACAGCAAATGTTTATCACTTCATATGTATACAGGTAAAAGTCTTCCTGATCATACTGTACATTTCACAAATACAAACTTTGTTACAAAAGAAATGTGCATTAGTTTTAATTGGTTTTGTGTTGCGGTTTATACTTCATAAATATAAGCTTAGTTTTATAAATGTTATTAAATAATGGAGCCCGTACATTCAGACTACGACATTCTAATTTGAACTATCAAGTTTTGACTCTGCTTTTTTTGTTTGAAAAAGCACATTGTATGAAAGGAAAACAGTTTCTGTAATTGGTTCATATAACCAAATATGGGAATATTTCCTTACCTGTCTCCCTCCAAAGTGATGGTGAAATCTGGATGCGTTCCAATAGCCGACCCGTTACAGAACCAGTTCACGTCCGGTCTGGGATGACCGCTGGTTACACAGACAAACTTGACCGGTGCCCCTTCCCTGGTGCTCACATCCACCAATCCCTGCATGAACTCTGGCACCTCCTCACCTTCAGACGCTGTGTCAAAGCCATCGCTGTCAATATCGCTATCGCTAGACTCTGCGGGGAGTGATTAGATAGAAAGAGGAAAGAGGAGTGGAAAGATTCCAACAAAAGAGGGCAGCATTCCAACAAGCAATGGTCTAAGTTGATGAATAGATCAAAATACTTTAGATTCTTGGTTCACCAATGAGACCACAAGAGGGCAGTCTTTTCTCACAGCATGTGGATGGTGGATGAACACCAAAGTTGGAAAAAATCCATGGAATAAAGTCTGTTACTTTCCAAGGCTAGGTCACATGGGTATAGGAAGAACCATTTCCACATTACCTAGATTTCACATTATAAATACAATGAACAATCATCACTTACCGGAATATAAAACATTTAAAGCTATAGTCCATCATTCGCAGCCATCCGAAAAGTAACTAAGTAATTATTGTTGAAAAACAAACTTGGTTGAAAGATAGTAAGGGAACTAAACTCCTTGTCAAATTATTCTTTCTGGGAAGCTATCATTTTGAAGTAATCAACGAAAGAAGGCCTTTCCAATGTTGCGTCTTAAGATGCACCGTAGGAAAATTTAAATTAGTAGTTCGTTTTGTTATTCGACGCACGACGCACACGCTATTCGTCGGATCAGTGCGCGACGTCGCGTATAGCTGCAATTCAAAACATATCAAAACATGATTCAGTAACTTTTGATTTGAAATTGAGATCCTAGAATGCTGTTTTTCTCGAAATATACAGCTGAAGCTTAGCTGAAACTTCATCAGGTTAGTTGTTCAGTATCCTTCATTAGATTTTGAACACTATTGTTGCTTCAAACGAACAAAATGCACAAATTACAAATGATGGACTATATCTTTAATAGACTAAAACTAAGTAACCTTTGACACTATAGGGTAAAAAAAGTTTATGGTATTCTTAAAACAAGTGGAGAAAAACGGGGCTTGGATGTAATTGATGGAATGACCCATTCGGTACAACATTTTCCCAGTGAATTACCTTCTATTGTCTCCAAAAGTCGACCAGCTGCAAAGTAAGACATCTTGGTAGATCAAGTATCGCTGCAGTTACTGTGGAAACCAGTCATCAGGTTGATCATCATCATTTAGTATTTTCTGATAAAAAAAAACAACAAAATTCACATGGATAATTTTTCTTACACTAGGAAACAACTTGTGACACAACTTAAAATGCTAAATCAGTTTAGTTTCTACATACATTCTTATCTGCATGATCTGCCAACTTTTTGTAAAAATGTTATAATTAAATGTAAGGACAATGGGAATTTTTAGCAAGTACTTTTTTGTCATTTTAATTTACTTTTAAATGACATGTCCAATCTATGGAATGGAAACCTTTCAATCTAAATGAAAATGTAAATGGCAGTGTCCAATCCATTTAGACTCCAAGCCAAAAATCCATTCCTTTCCAACCAGTCTAGATCGAGTACTTGCACAGCAAGGGACAATAAATGCACGAGGGCTGAGTGTGAGATGTGCGATGTGAAAAAGCAACTGCTTAAAGGGAATATACAACATTTGCAAACATCGAAAAACAAAACTACCAAATATTTACGAAATACCTTACTAGGCTGTTGGTAAATGACAGTCTAAAGCATCCTGTAAAATTATGGCACCTGGTGTGAAGTCATTTTATAGAGAGGTGCTATTTTGTGTAAATTTCCAACGGTGGGTCGGCCAACCACCGTTGGAAAAACCTAACTATTTTTTAACTATACTGCTCAAAATGTACCATTTTTTTCAGTGCAATTTTTCTTTGCTATTGGTTGCATGTTCATGAACAGGTGCAGGCCATCTAGAGTGTTACACTTACTTTACAATTTTCCGGCATCTATAAATTGATCAGTTTCATCTTTAGTGGAGTCAGGGAACCAGACTATTTGAACATATTTGTTTTTCTTGGTTTTTCCAGCATTTTCAAACACAAAACTTCAAACTTGTCAGTATAACAACATTTGATCTATTATACTAAACCCTCAAATAGTCCATTTCTGAAAATTACAGCAAAAACCAATGATGTACATTCCCTTTAAAGGATGATTCCCTGTCTTTTTTTCATTCAGAGGCAAATCCGGGCGTGCACGTGATCACTGCACACTCCTGAGGCCCCCTTCAATGGGGAAACCATTTATGCACGCTGCTGTACAAAGCAACAGCCCCATGACGGAAGTTGAACAACAGCTAACACGCTGCTTTCGCCATTGAAGGGGGCCTTCGTGATAGAATTGATGTCAGTGCCCAGATTGGTCTACTGCATGTATCTATAGACCGAACCACAAGATGTGACACATTTAATTCAAACTGATCTCCTGTGATTACCAATGGGTGTAAATACTGTCAGACAGCGAAACTGCATGACTTTTCACAATAATTGCTTTTCAAGAGATGGAATCAAAAGCTGTAACAATTACTGCACAAATTGCAATGCAACAATGTTGTTAGTTTGTCTGAGTGACTTCTTATTCTTGAAACGACTAAGGAGACTTCAAATGGGTACATGTACAATATATTTTTTTTTGGGTAGGCGGGGACTTAAAATGTGCCTTCGCCTCAGTTTTGTCACCTTTCATTGGATGCATTGGACCATCACTTAATCTTATCTTCTCCATTTCTTAGGATTGCAAGGATGGAGAGAAGTAAATTTTGGTACAAATTCGATGTAAACCTGTTAATTCAATGATGACAGAGAATCTTTTATAAAGAGATGTAGAAAGGTATCTGGAAATCTGGCAAATCCTTGAAAGTGTCAATAGGGTGTCAACGGGTTGATTCAATGAAAGGAAGTCATGTGTTCTGATGTTGCGATGGCTGAGAGTACTTAAGAATGAATTAGACACTTAGGATATATGTACATGAACCAGTACATATAGAAGAGTAAAGGGGTGGGGTATGAAGAAATGCATGGGAGGGGTTCAATAACGAAAATGTGGCAAAATTCATAATTATTAGTAATTTTTGATGAAATAAAAGACAATGATTAGGCCAAAAAAAAAAAATACTCGGTCTCTGGTCAGCGCGCGCGTCAATTTTAATCATGCGCGTCAACCGTTTTTTTCTTCAAATTAACACGGAAGCTACAACAGCGCCCTCTATTGCCGCACCTCCTCAAATGTTTGTACCAAGGAGCACCAAGGAATGGAGAAATTGCACCAAGGCAAATGATAAAGGGCACCAAGGCAAATGATGGAGGACACCAATGTATAATGAGGACACAAAAAAGCAAAATAGTACACACCTTGTCTGTACAATTGAAGCTTTAAAAAAAAATGCGCGTCGACGCATCAATTCCGAAACTTCGGTCTGACCAGAGACCGATTTTTTTTTTTTTTTTTGGCCTTACACTCTGTCATTTTAAAGGAAAAGAAAGTTTCGTAGTCTGGTAGGATTTAATACCCTCCCTCATTTAGTTTCCACTTAGGCCAAACAAAAAAATAGTTCTGCTTCCGATTACATGCCTTTCAAAAATAGGGTCGGTCGGTCTGAAATTTTTTTTTTTTGCCAATTTTTTTTATGCAGATTGAATGGGGTATATAATTATATGCGAAGTTTTAGCCTGAACTATTTCTATTGCACTACGAAAGCTATACACGAAATGGCAACAAAAAGTGAGTAAAACCTACCTTTAATTATTGTCAATATATTTACGTTCGATAATTTCAAAAAATAATGGAAAATTCAGGCCGTTCGCACCATATGTACAACGCTAGTCAAGACGCGGGGAGCTGGCCAAAACTCCGAGGTGTGTAATGCGTGCGTGTGTGGCGAGCGGCCCACCATGGGCCGTCAGAGCTGTTTTTACCGTCAACAATTTCGGGAAAAACGCGGCATGTATCACTCCAAATACGAGTAGTGCGATCTCAAAATGAACTCCTGAACACAGAAAATACATATTCAATACAATCAATTCTGTAAATTAACTTGCAAAAATGTTCTTTCTCAATCGGTGTTTTCTTGGCATTTTAACGATGTCGAATCCGACCAGTTGACAGTGGCCTGCACTGTACTAATAGCGCGCTATCGGTCACATAGCTAGCTATGGACTGGTTACCGCATTTTCATTATGTCTTCTAAATTGGCCCCTGCATGGCGCGGCGGGAACCAGTCGTCGCCACGTGATTATAGTCACCGTGCGTGACATCGAATTGCGAAGTAGTTATATCGCGAAGCGAATTTGTAATAACGGAGGTTTCTTTGAGAAAAAAAGCGAATGTAAGTAAGAAAACAAATAAATACAAGCATTTTTGGATGCAAAAGGGTTGTTGAGAGGTATTTTGTGAAGACAGAAAAGACAGATTTTATTTGTATTTATTCAATTTTTTTTTTTTTTTTTTTTTTTTTTTGAATTGCCAATAAAATTTTTAGGGTCGCAGCCTAAAAATAGGGTCGGTCGGGTAACCGGAAGCAGAACTATTCTTTTTTTTGGCCTTATCATTCAATAAATACGTTGACAGCTCATAATTATCGTGAAAAGTGAATGTGAAAAAGTGAATCATTTTTTAAATAGCATTCCCCCCCCCCCCCCCGAAGCAATTAACATAGTGTTCATTGAGTTAAAAAAAAAACAGAAGAAAGAAAGAAGAATTTTGAAGAGAAAAACTTTTAAGATAGTTTAGTTTTACTCAAGACCCTTCAAAAATGACTGCAAATTTACAGTGCTATGTGAGATTGTTGCCTCAGAATGTGTTGCTATGGATTGCGACAGGAACAAATGTGTGAGTGCACCTTTAAGGTACTTGTCACCAGCAGTTTCCAGGCCATTGCATTAGCGTCACACTCAACTTGACACTGTGACCAGTACGGGCAACACTTGATACTTAAAGTAAATAGCTGGGCATCATTCATCTTACTAAACAATTCGAACTATTTACATGGTCCATTAAAAAAATGATGGAATGCAATGCATTCTGGACTTCCTGTTTCAAACCTCAAGAATCAATATCCACTGCACTTGGTTATAGTGGGATTTATCTTATCCAAAAAAAAATATGCGGTCCGGGCTAGGGTGGAAAAATGACTTCACAATTTTCAAATTCTCAAATCTGAAATATACAACAAAAAAATAATAATATTTTTTGTAAACTGCTTACATAGATTGACTGGACTGATCTAAAGTATAAATCATAAAATATTTAGCCCTGATATTTTAATCCATGCAAGATATTTTAGAAAGGCATTTAAAAAAAATGTTTCATGTTCAACCTTAACTTTATGTTGTATTTCTAAATACTCAAATATTTAAAACCATTTTGGATGCCTGTAGGACTGTACACCCAAGAAAAGATTTGGAGGATTTGGGATTCTTCCTTGCATAATGCCTGAAAACAATGTTGTCACTTTCTTTGAATACAGGGTGAGTAAAAAAAAAACTGAACCCAAATGTCAGAACCACTGTTTTAGTGAAGTTTTGCATGTAGCACTTTCAAAATCTAGGATATGAAAGCCCAATTCATATAAGCTTTCTTTCAGCACAAGAATCATTCAAATCACTCATGTATTTTCCAAGTAACGGAATTTTAAACACAACCACCGTTTTAAAGTTCTGTCCACGGATCACAAAACAGTGTGCATTCTTTCAGCACAACTCAAACCATTCACACACATCCCTATGCGATTTGTTTTCGTTTTGCTGAAAGAACACTTACAATGGTCCCGACATTTGGGTCTTGTGTTTTGTTTACTCACCCTGTATAGACCTAAATGAAAAAAATCAGAAAGCCTAAATGCTCAATTAAAAAAAGTTGTTAGTTTTGAAACATCCATCCAATAATTTGTACATAGTGCAGTCAATGACTGGTGTGACAAAGTATTTCATTTTATGTTCACTGAAAGTTTGCGTGCAACAATTCCGGGCTGCATTGACAGCATGCATTCCTAGTTATTAAAAGTTAAGCTTGGTTGATTTACATGTATTCCACTGGACTCTAAATGCATTGCTCGCTGTTACTATATAATTTCTTGTTACAATTCATCGGCAAAAGTTTAGTCTCTGAAAGTCCTTTCTCAAATTCTGAGAAACTTAAGATAATTTTTTAAAGGACCTGATTCCACAAATGTACCCTTCAATTTTCAATCCAGCCAACAGAACCACAGTAAATCTACTGTGCTGTCAACTTTTTTGTTGAGTTTTTAAGAAGAAAAAGTAGCCATGAAATGACAGCTCCAACACATGGAAAGTGACCAGCAACCCTGACACAGGATATCAAGAGATCTGGAAAATATGCAGGGTTATCACAACAATTTGGATGTTTCTTTTAATGGTGCAACACTTGAGGATAATCTTGTCTGGTATTTGATTGATGACATCTCAATTGAGATTCACTTTTCCGGCAGACAATTTTATTTCTTACAGACTACCGGTATATATGTAGAGAGTTTAGGCCAATTAAACAAAATAAACCAGTTTCTCGTTCCTGCCCGCTTCCTTTTTCCCCCCCGCCGCCTCCTTTTTATTTATTATTTTGTTTATATTCATACATTTGCAATATATTTTGCACATATATTGTAAATAATATTGTCTTTTTATTTGTTCCAACAAAATTGTAGCTAGAGGTAGAGAGGGTTATGGCTCCTTTGGAGGCCATTTAGTATCAGCAAAATAGTTGAGAAAAATGAAGAATCCATCCGCCATCTTGGAAAATCTGCCATCTTAGGGGAAAAAAAAGAAAAAAAACCACCCACCTCCTTTCTTAAAAAAAAAAGGCTGGATGAGAATGAGAAACTACTTAAACTTTTCCTACTCGGACTTATAAAATAATATCTCTTTACAAATTGGATTATTTAAAGGGAAGATACAACATTTGCAAACATCAACAAACAAAATGATCAAATTATCACAAAAATGCCTTACAGTTACACTGGATTGTTAGGAATGACAGTCTAAAGCATCCTGTAAAATCGTGGCTCCTGGTGTGCTGACATTTTCAAGAAAAATTGTATTTTCCAACGCTGGTCAGACGACCAGCGCTGGACAAAACTGGCTTCTTCTTTTTTTAAGGATTTCCTAACAAATTTGGAAATATTTCTCAGTCCCAGATTCATGTCTTATCATTTTTGCAATGAATTTCCTTCATTGAGATGATATATGAAGAAAAAAGTGGCGTCAGGTTGCAACATTTTTTCCAAGAACAGTAGTATCCAGATGCCGTTACAGTGGTTGTGCACAAAGACTATGGAGGTTACGGGGCACGTCCAGAATATTTTCTAAGTATTTTCTAACAAAATTGGAACTTGTGTTTCTCGGTCCCAGTTTCATGTCTTTTCAACATTTTTGCAATGAATTATGATGGAAAAAAGAAGTGTCAGGATGCAACATTCTTTGGGAAAATAGACTTACCTAGCTGCAGTTTGTAAACTTGTCGCCTTGCTGGCCGTAATATCCAATGCAGTCAGTAGACACTAGCAGTGAGTAGTACTGGTAGAACAACTACAACTTCTACTGGCTGCATGCATCAGAACCACTTGACGGACGTGCGTGTGTGCCGAGTCGGTGATGTGGCAACGTGGACCCGTTCTCAGTTGTTACCCTGGAGGCAGAATTATTATTTACTCTAGCGCGTCTGTGGGGTCTTACACTGTTGTCGGCCTTTATATTGCAGATATTGATAGACCAACTATTCAATTAGATTGAAAAAAATTTTAGGACGAAATTTATGACTCACATTCTTTACTGCGCTCACTAGTCTTCACTGATGTAGATCCCCCGCCTACGTAGCGGCGCAGCTAGCTGCTCACACACCACCACTACGTACGTGTACACGCAACACATGTCTGTAATAAATACAACTACACGTTCCAAATGAAAACATCGACTACACATTCCAAATGAAAGCATCACCTACACGTTACAAATAAAAACATCAACTACACGTTCCAAATAAAAACACCAACTACACGTTCTAAAATATTCGGTATCAAATGATGAAAGGTTTGCGGAAACACCATGTGCGAATAATTTCTCAACTAAGAGAATGGTTCTGAAAAGAACCAGAGGTATAAACTCGACGTTCCGGTCAGTATGCTCTGACCGTCTTCAGGAGAGTATATTGAGCATACTGTCCGGAACGTCGAGTTTATACCTCTGGTTCTTTTCAGAACCGTTCTCTTAGTTGAGAAATTATTCGCACATGGTGTTTCCGCAAACCTTTCATCATTTAGTATCTCCACCATGCAAAGCCTCAAATCTTACTTATTTGGTATCAATTTAGAACATGTAGTGGATGTCTTTATTGGTAACGTGTAGTTGATGTTTTTATTTGAATTTGTGTATATAGATGACCCCATTTTTTATGGGTATAGTCCATCATTTCAGATCAAAAGTTGCTGAATCATGTTTTGAATTGGGCCTGAATTTAGCGTCCGAGACACGTTCTCACCGATTGCAGCTACGCGATGGTCGCGCACCGATCCGACGAATTATAGCAACCGTGCGTTTGTGTGTCGTGCCAATGCTTGCGCGCGCTTCGCCGAATAGAAAAAACGAACTACTAACGGACATTTCCAACGGTGCTTCTTAAGACGCACCGTTGGAAAGGCCTTCTTTCGTTGATTTCTTCAAAATGACAGCTTGCCAGAACGAATAATTTCACAGGGAGTTTAGTCCCCTTACTATCTTTCAACCAAGTATGTTTTTCAACAATAATTACGCCATTTACTTTTGGGATAGCTGCGAATGATGGACTCTGGCTTTAAGAACAGTGTTGATAGTATTTGTCTTTGCATAGACTAGTGTAGGGAAGAATGGTGTACTAAATTATGTTTGCTTCTTTTTTTTTCCGTGTTAGTGGGGATTTCTACAGCCTGGCATCCCCTAGCTTCCTCCCTACCTTCCGTAAAGTGCAGACTTCTACGACTGCGGGTGGGGGCGGGTGGGGGCGTGCTCCAAGAACAATGAATGCGCTTGACTCGCTGTGCTAATAAAAACTATATATGTACATGTATAGTGCTGAAGTGCAGGTTAAAAACAGGACAACTTGAAGCTAGTGAGTACCATCCCTCAATGCTGATTTGAACGCATCGAGGGAGGGTAGACTAGCTGGGTTAGAATAGCTGTACTAGAATAGACATCACACGCCGCCACCCAGCGTTCAGTTATTGTCTATCAACAAATTTGTGAAGTGATCCCCGTACTAAACCACTTGTATGAGACATTAAGATAAATTCAAAACGAATTTTTAAAAATATATTTGCAAAGTACTTATTTACATATTCACATCAACAATCGGACAACACTGAAACCTGGTATAAAACCGAATGTATATATATATTGATGTGTACATACCACTCTAAGTTCATAGGAATGTGTCTGGCAATAATATGTTGGACTGTGATTAGATTGCCAGATACAATTTAATATTCAGAATAATATCTTTGAGGAAAACAATTCATCTAATCAATTCCATCAACATCGATTGCTAATGAACAACTTCTCATTGACCTCCAAAGACTCCTTAAACATGGCAAAACTTCCTCTCTCATAATTATCAGATAAATGACAAATTCCACCATTCATAAATAATTAATTCATCCACTCGTCCAGATTCATGTTTAGAGAATTCAGTATTAAGGGCACCCGACTATTCTTCGATCAATCAAATCCAGGTTGTTTATGAAAATCTAACTTCATATCATAAATCGAAAATTCAATGTTTGCTTTCGTTTTGGGTGCTTTCGCCAACCGGCCATGACAATCCACGTAATGCACAATTTTGAGAGCCCCTTCTTGCAAAACCATTATTAATAAGCTGTTAATTTTCATTCGATAAAAAAGTAAATTACAGACAAGTACTTAAAAGCCAAATTCACTCGTATTGGGAAAGTTGCCTCGTATTCCTATACTATGGTTTCCCCGCCCCGGCCGACGCCACGTTGGTACTTGTACTTGGTAGTGGTTTGGTGACAAAATGTTTTCAAGGAATAAAAATGACCAGTTCAGCCAATGTTTTGTCAGACAATACTTCTTGTCTTTGCTGCCATGTCGGCGTGTTTGCGCAAAGGACGATGTCCGACTGTGAAGCTAATGGAATTTAGCGCGCAACACAAATAGCTCGAGCCATCTTAAAGTGAAACATAATGAACGCGCAATATGTTAATGTTTCATAAGATAATCACAGTTCAAAACCAACCATTGCATTTTTGAAATTACCAAAGGTACATAACATGATTTTGTGGCCAATCCAGGGAAAATTTTCGTCCTGTCTTTATAATAAAAGCATGCACAGTACAGTTCACGTGTAGCCTCTTTTGCTTAACTTGAATGAAATCGCAGTGACGTAACTGAGGGGAAGGAGCGAGGGAACGGGTCCCCCGCTCCTTCCCCCTCCCCGGCCCCCTCCCCACTTCAGGATTTGGAGAAGGCACAAAAAAATTTCGTTTGAAACTATGACCAAACCCTTTGAATGCAACCCCCCCCCCCCCACACCAAAGGGGCCCCAGTTTCGCTACTGTGAAAGCGATTTCGAGCACTAAACATCAAACTATCGAGGATTTGAATAAACACAAGATGCCTGAATCCAATCGTTTCGATGCAAAACAAACTTCACGAATTAAAGAAAAAGGATACTTTTTCAGGTTTGGAAAATTACTGTTTATTCCGTCCACAATGCGTCAAAATGGAACACACGATCTCTCCTATATCAACTTGAATAGAATATCACTGTCTATAGAACGAAAGGGTAATGAGTTCAAGTTTACACCACATGGCATGAGTAAGGAACTACGGTTTATTTTGAATATAACAATATTGAACACGTCACCAGTGATTTTAATAGTCTTAAATTTTGTTACAGCTAAGAAAAACCCACTCCATTTTCTGTCTAATAATTAAAAAGCTGATGAACAACAAACAACGCTCGGTATTTGAAAAAGCAGAAATTAATTTCAATTCATAATTTGTCCTATATAGTACAATATTCTTTCATACAGTGTCGAAATTCAGCGCTGCCCACCCCCTTTCACGCCCACCCCTCGTGCTAAAGTGGTACGCTCCACTGCGCCCGACAATATGCAAATGAAGCACACTTGAGGCTGTCAATTGGTCGTTCGGCCGATAATTGGCCACAATATGCTTCGGCTGTTCCAGTATAGTTCAAAGAGGGTGAGTTCGGTAAGGGGTGTGCCGATCCACAAGTTTGCTGCAGATAATTTTTATCCTGAACAATTTCAGACCATCCTGCTGTTCAACTGAGTAAAGGAGACCGATGGCAGATTTCTAGGTTTAAAGATGGTCAGATATCCTGCAACAAAATTGGATAATTCTGAACATCTTTGTGGCTTCCAAATTAGGGAAATCCCCTCAATTGATACAGTAGAATGCACAGAATCTTTGTAACTCGTACAGTTCGGTTTCTGAAAATTCAGTGGGCAGCGTGAGCACGAACGACAGAGAATCATTGCAAGAACACTGGTCCAGAACTGTCTGTTTGGAAGCAACAAAGGAACATCCTTCGATTTCAATAAAATGTTAACAGCATTAAAGATCTGTCCTAACTCTACGACGTCAACTGCAGGCACCCATCAACCGGGATATATATTTATATCCATATTTATAAGTAAATGTAAATATATTACATACAGAAAGATAGACAGAGTAACAAACAAACTGACTCGCTGATTGACGAGAATGAACACAGGGGAACAAAACGTGAATTACAGTTTAAGGTAGTATTTTAGAAATGGCGAGTCACATGAATTTGAGAACAAGAAAGTAAAGTTGTAAAGATTTCAGAGAGAGGAAGGAAGAAAGAAGACAGGAGTAGGGGGATGAACGGTTTGGACGATCACACGAGTGACAGAAGAAGGGGAAAATAAGAAGCAGATGAAGAATAGCGGTATATAGACGTAGAACATGTAGCGTAGGGGAGTTATAATAGATTACTGTTAACACTTAAAATTCTCGTAAAAGTAACATCTGACAAAGTTTAACGGATAAAGACTTTTGGAAAAAGATGGAGAAAAATGATGTAAAATTGAAAAATCTACATACAGGTTGGCCAGATTTTTTTCTGAATATCAACACAAGTATTTTTTGTTTTTGTTTATCAAACCACATATAAAATTACAACTCACCCTGAACGTTAAAAAAAAATGAAAACGAATCATAAAAAATGTATAAACACAAAAATTGTTACAAGTATGATAAATATTTTAAAACTTATAAGATAGTTCACTCTATCTACACAAATAAATAACATCAAACTTTCCCTAAATAAAGATCACTCGAGACTAGCTCAGTACCTGAACTCAAAACCTGAATAATGCACATTAACGAGAAATTTACAAGAACACCAAACAAACGACGCTCTTTTGGCCAGTTCACCTTACATTCTTAAAAGTCACTTTCGTAAGAATTAGGCCACTTCTTAAAATTGGGACCACGGTTACTTGGTTTCCAACAAATAAAAACATGGAAATATAACATCAAAACACTGTTTTCATGAAGACAGTTAAGATTCTATATATGTCTCACTCACTACATTAGTACTACTCATGACAACTTATTCAAAACGCCATGACAGTCTAATTTCAAAACTGCTAATTTAGAGGAAATTCCATGAACCGTTCCCGAAACTTCTCCATGAGATGCCTTTTTCCACCAGCTTTCAAGATTAACACTAGAATACACTTAACAAAATGTTTTCTCCGAAGAAACTTTTCCTGTAATAAAGCATCTTTGATTACAATCTCAGTAAATTCCAATGTTTCATCCGATTCGTTCAATTAATTTGTTTCAAATGACCGGTTAGATATTTCTGGTTTTTTTTTCAACAAATATTTTTTTCACCATATAAATCAAAATCAGGATTTAAATGAAGACATTTCACACAAACCCTTCACAGTCAATCACTGTTTACCAACAACCAATCAGATTATATATGACACAAGCAAAATGGAAAATGTAAACACCAACATCAGTTATTAAGATGACATTTACTAATAAATTTATTTTCTCAATCGCCTTTAACTCTCTCATTCAAATGAACATGTTTTGAATTATTTGGTTAGGGTTGGTTCGATGTCATTCTTTGACCGCAATACCTATCAATTTTGGTATAAAAAAAGAAAAATTAGAATATAGCTTTATGGCGGTTATCTTTCCAGAGATAAAAAGGGTTATCTTGCCAGAGATAACTGTAATATGTTTGATTCTACTTGAAGAAACAGTCGTAAACAAGTCATAAATATTGCACACTACAACTAGACCACGGCTCGCTATAATAAATTATCTACAATGAATCAAAATATGATGGAATTATCGACAAATTTTGATACTGTGCCTCAAGTTTTTGAATTTTAAATATAACCACCACACGTAATATCTGACCAAGTTTAGCAAAATGCTGAATGACTGACAAACAATGCCTTTTCTTATTTTCTGAAAGTTTTTGCTTGACAACTACCTTTTGAGAAATGCACACCGTTCTTTGAACTTCACGAGATATGTGATAACTTTTGGTATTCTTTTATGGTCACACCAGATTATACCACTAGAATACACGTACCAAGTAATGCTAATGTTAGCAAAATCAATTCGGGGAGTATAAAATAGTAGGGTGACATTAGGAATTACACGATGCATCAGCAATGCCTCGTTACAAATAAATGAACTGTTAGATGTCAGGTATTAGTGTCGGCACCAACAAATTTGGCACTTACACACAAAAACTCGGCGAGTTCAACTATCCGTGTTATTTCTTCCTGTTCCTAGCAGTTCCCAAGCCAGATCTGTTTTAAAACACTCATTTCGCCAACAATATATTTCACCATAACCCTACAAGGCACTAACGCTGGTTATGCCCTGTTATGTTTTTATTCCAAATTCAACTTCCCAAACTGCGGGATGTCTTTCCAGATGGAAGTTGAAATATCAAGAAAAGTCGAGAAATAAAAGTGTCAGCATTAAAGCAACCTCTTTGTGGAAAATTAGTACAAAATACGCCTTTTCCACCACTTTCGACTTTGGTGTACTACCATAGTATCCTTTCTATTTCAAATTTGCACCAAAACCAACCATTAACTATTTTTTTTTTTGGATTCCACTTGTAATTTTTTTTTTTTTTTTTTTTTTTTACATTTTTTTAATTAGATTTTTTTTGTACAGCTCTATAAATCTACAAAGAATGACAAAATATTGGACATTTTACACGTGTTTAAAAATCTTTCACAGTTTTTGTACAATTGTCAAGGATTCCTCCTCTATTAAATCAATCCCATATCCAAGCTGATCACAGTAAAAGTTTGAAAGCAGAAAAACTCATCATTTCACTTGGACGGGGAAATTTATTGAAATTGTTCCATTTTTACCATTATACAACATCCTCTTCTGAAATTTCTTCTATGGAAAACATTTGCTTGAAAGATGTTTGTCTTCTGCAAACACTTGAATGGAGCTTATTCTGGGAAATAAATCATGGCGCGATTTGTATTTTCTCCAAAGAAGGCATTTCTTTGCATACATTTGGTGGACATTTGATTTGTATATGATGTATATGAATAATTCTATGAATTGACAATGACGATAATGACAATACGGTCAAAATTGGGAGTACAATTAAATTCATTACTAGAAAAAAAATCAATCAAAGATATGTGTATACAATATGACTTGTCCGAGTACTTCATTTGGACTTTGTTTTATTTGTTTGTTTGTTTTTCTTAATCTGCTATCCGCCAATCAAAAGGCTTGCCCGGGGCCAAATGTCTAGAATGAAAGGTCCCACAATGCCGAGCTGCAGTTGCTGTGACAACAGTTGCCATGACGACAGCGGGGCAAAGACTGGGTGCAGAGTGGCAGCTGAGCTTCTGGAACAAAATGCAGCTTGGATGAAACAGAGCGAAGGACTGCCTCACAAGTCTAGTGTTTATAATATGCCTTTGACACGTATCATGGCTCGGACGGCGTTGATGGCTTTCTGTAAATCACACAGGGAAAAGAAAACCGAATTAGTGAAATTAATCGTCACGTATGGTGGAATTTCGCATCAGTTTGATGGAAATTTGCATATACGCGATTTCACCCTTCACCATGGAATTCTATGGACTCCATGCACGATCAAGAGCGGACACCGTTTGACTTCTTTTGAGAGCCCAGTGGTTGGGTGGAAGACACAATGTGCGCATGTGTGTACGTGTTCTACATAGCCCCCGAGGACAGACACACAAAGAGAGAACACATCCGTTCAGGCCTCCGGAGTTGGGTCTTTTGTTCAAAACTGTCCTCTGTAGTAGGTTTGTGTGCTTAGTCTATAGGAGAGTGTTATATTACAGGGACAAAGGAAAACACAAAGCATTGTCCTCGGGAGTAAAGTAAAACAAGAGTACATGTTTGCGCGAGTATGGTGCAAAGTATGGACAAAACTATATGTGCACAAAACTATAGTGCATTCGCGTGAGCGTCAGGCGTCATCGGCAATGCGTTCGAAATGTCCCTACCAGTGGTCTCCCCCAACTCTCCCTTTCTTACCGTTGAGGGGGTACTTGTGCACTGAGTTCATTCTGATTTCATTTTAAAAGAATAGACTGCCCTGCAGTGATCACTTACGCTCAAATAGGACACAGATTAATAACAATAATACCGGAGTCTTATATAGCGCACGTATCTACCAACAATTAGGTACTCAAGGCACTGGAAATTATGTCTATTATTAAAGACAGGTAAATGAAGTTTATGAGAAATATGAGACCCATTATGTAGCACCTTATATAAAGGTTTACAAGGTGCTGCGGCGCATATTGCAGCCACTGCCAAAAACACCGGGGCGAACCCCTTCTCTTAGTGATAAGTGTTACTGTGTTTTTTAAAGTGCATTACACAACGCACAAGACCTACGGCTTTACGTCCCATCCGAAGGACGAAGCAATAATGGTAAAGTGCCTTGCTCAAGAGCACAAGCACCATGTTCCTACGGTAAGGATCGAACCCATGTACCACGTCGCACGATTCAAACATCGTAACCATTGGACCACAGCGCCCCACATGTGCAGATTAGTGACTGATTGATCATTTAAACTCCCCCTGATGAGGTTTAACACTCACCAGCCATCTTCTCTTGATGACGTATTTCTTGAGACGAGCCTTGGACAGGGATGCTGTGCTCTTGATCTCCTTCTTTAGCCAATCGTCGTTCAGACACTGATCTGCCGTCATTCTCTCCCTAGTGCAAGACAAATACAAACACAGCAAAAAGGTGAACATCATAATAACAATAATAACAATGTGGTGCTTACATAGTGCTTTATGCCAAAGGTTTCAAAGCGCTTCACAATTATTACCCCTGTTCATCAGGCCTTGAGACCATTTTTCTGCAGCAGCTCGAGATCAGCACAATCCGGTCTCAACTCTCATGGGTACCTGTTTATGCTCCTGGGCGGAGAGAGGCAATTGTGGCGAAGTATCTTGCTCAAGAACACAAGCACCACCAGGGCGAACCCAGGTACTGTGGCACATGAGTCAAACACCGTAACCATTGAACCACAGCACTCCACATGCATTTCAGCTTAATGGCCAGCAAAAGCACAACACTAAAGACCAAATTAGTGCAATAAGTTTAAAAGATAACAGATTCCAAAGAATCCAGAGCTTCTCTTGAAAAAAAATATAAAGCTTGGGATGAAGGAAAAAGTATCTCAGGTAACGAGTTCCATCAAGAAAAAGTCCCACACCGCCTTTCAGATTGACGCTCAAGAATCACAGCAAATTGAATTTTTCCAAAGATTTGAGTTAAGTTTAACATTTTGAAGCAGTTAAGAGCAACAACACGCGCATGATGATTGTTGAATGATTGACTGCTGCTGTCATTTGCAAGGACTCGACCAGAGTGTCTTGGTATCAGACACCGCAATAGCAAATTGGAAATGGATTGCATTAAATTCACCTGTCAGTAACCAAATTCTATTTGGATCAAGCTGAGTTGCCCCAAATACTTTGCGTTTGGCGCAACTCTGGAATGTCTCACTGATACGAGTCTTACATCTTCCAAAATGGAGGCTAGTGGAGTGTCCCATTTTAAGACATTATCTCAACATGCACATTGATTTAAGGGGGGGGGGGGAAGAACACGAAACGGAAAAAAAAAATGTTTTCCAAACACCCCAAATCAGTGTTGTAGTGGAGACCTGTCTGAGACTTTCAAAACACTTTTTTTTATCCATTATTTAGATTTTCTGAGACAAAATAAGTCAAATAACTATGCTACAGATTGTCATTATTTGATGTATAGAATGCTGAGATAAATTTTTTTGAGATCAACACTCAAGTTCAAATAAAATTCTGTTACTGACAGTTAAAATCTTTCCGAGACCTTTTGGACGTCTTTTCAAGATCACTTTTTCCCATACACTGTTTATCTTAAACTCTACATTGAAACAATCCAACTGTTTAGTTTGTTCAAAGTCAAGGCACTGAGTCTTTCATCAATCACATCAGACTTGACTCAACTCCGACATTCTATTATATTACAAGCACCCCCCTATTACCAAATAAAATGAAACGGATGAACAATAAATGAATCAAACACAAAAAAAGAAACAATGTTCATACGACTTGTCTTCCTTCAGCAGATTTTCGATGAAATTCTTGGACATGTCTGAGATGTCATCGAAGCACTCGTCGTCAAAATCCCACTCCACCTTGAGAATGTTGCTCATTGTCTCTCCTTCATTGTCGCCCATGAATGGCGAGAGACCACTCAATCTGAGAAGAATTGACAAGAAATCCATGTAAGACACTGGGTGGAAGGATCATGTACAAATTCATCACACACAATAAGCCAGTTCAGTATCTCGATGAAGTAGTCCAGGTCAAAGGTCATTCGGGATAAAATCGCTGACGTGCTGTTATGGGATGTTACTTGAACGCCCATTCGGCTCGTAATTAACGCGCGAGCATTGTGCAACCATCTCCTAGCGCGTTCATGCGCCTTTGATGAGCGTTTGATTATCTTGAATGACCCGTGACCCATATCATTGTGCGTATGCGCAGTTAAAATACAGAACTGGCTTATTAGGAGCCATTAAAGCTATAGTCCATCATTTGCAGTCCTCCGAAAAGTAACTGGCGTAATTATTGTTGAAAAACATACTTGGTTGAAAGATAGTAAGTGGACTAAACTCCCTGTGAAATTATTCTTTCTGGCAAGCTGTCATTTTGAAGTAATCAACGAAAGAAGGCCTTTCCAACAGTGCGTCTTAAGACGCACCGTAGGAAAATTTAAATTAGTAGTTCGTTTTGTTATTCGGCGAAGCGCGCGCAAGCATTGGCACACGTGCGCGCGGTTGCTATAATTCGTTGGATCAGTGCGCGACATCGCGTATAGCTGCAACCGGCTCACGGTGAGAACGTGTCTCAGACGCTGAATTCAGGCCCAATTCAAAACAAGAATCAGCAACTTTTGATTTGAAATTGAGATCCTAGAATATCGAGATCCTAGAATCTCGGAATATACAGCTGAAGCTGAGCTGAAACTTCATCAGGTTAGTTGTTCAGTATCCTTCATTAGATTTTGAACACTTTTGTTGCTTCAAACGAACAAAATGCAAAAATTACAAATGATGGACTATATCTTTAATGTTGTTCCTCAAAGGAGGACATGGGTACACGCATAGTACTTGTGGGTCAGTGTGATACCACCTCAATAATGACTTCTGACTGAGGTAGTTGGATTAGTTTAAAGCAGAGAAGTTGAGGAAAATGATGACAATGGCACAACGTCTGAAATCACATCAATAAGGGTGCTATTATGATGTTGTGATGATGGGTAAGAGTACCCTGGTGAATGCGAAGATAGTGATGGTCATCGTGGTGATGATGATGTTGGTGTGGCAACTGTGATGACTCTTAAAAGTAAAAAAACTATTAAACAGTTCTGTAGTCAAGTCCATCACAAGTCCAGTCACAAGTTTTTGTTCGTTTTTTTGCTTTAACTGGATAGCCCATTCAGTGGAATCCACTGGTCTCCCATGGGTCCCAAAGAAGACAAAGAGAAGAAATTACAGTTTTAGATGTGGGAGGAAAACTCAAGAAGAAAATTTGAGGAAAACTCACGGAATCACGAAGGGGCTGAAACCCATTCTGCATGTTGGCCCAGGCAGGAATTGAACCTGGGTCACATTGGTGGAAGGCGGGGAAAGTACAGTTACACCAACCTGACTCCCCAAGTGAACTGTGTCAAATTGCAGTCCCAAGTAAATCACATGTCCAGTCACAATTCCATACACAAGTAACAGGGGATGAGCAATGACAAAGGAATACATATTCAAAATTACTTTTCGCCCTTCACCGATATAATTTTATAATCACTGTTTTCTCAGTGTTGTTTGCAAGACTGCACGAAAAAAAATTCCACAGTCTTACTCGGGTCGACTCAAACCCATGACTTCCTACCTACTAGTAGATGTCTTACCACTTGACCACCGAGCTTGCCAGGATTGATTGACTGGTTCGAATCTGAGGTACCATAACCAATCAAGGCGAGGGAAAGTTGCCTCAGGGAGATGTAAATTAAATATCGGGGACTGCCTTTGGCACAGTTTTGAATAACTTGTGACTTGACACGGGAATGGATGACTTGAGATGGACTTTAATTTGACGGACCTATGAGGACATTTTTTGAACTCAACTACAACACTGGGTGCTATAATAAGGGATGAGATTGTCAATTAAAAAATTAAAGTCTGAAAATGGAATGAAAAGTCTGAAAGATACACTTCTTTCTAAGGCCAAAAAAAAAAAAAATTCGGTCTCTGGTCAGACCAAAATTCCGGAATTGACGCGGCCACGCAGCTTCTTTTTTTCTTTTTTTTTCTTCAAGCTTGGATTGTACAGACAAGGTGGGGTACTTAAAATCGACGTGCGCGCTGACCAGAGACCGACATTTTTTTTTGGGGGGGGGGCCTAACTGGTGTCTTTGTCTCAGATTCAAAAAGTCTGATTTCAGACAAAAGTCTGAAAAATCTCATGCCTGTATAGTGATATCAACACTGACAGTGGTAATAGTGGTGAAGGAGTTGATAGTGATAATGCGGTGGTGATGTTGATGGCATTGTTTTACTTACAAGACATAGCAGATGACACCAACAGACCACATATCTGTCGTGTAGGCGACCTCGTCATATGATACAACTTCAGGAGCTAAGAACTCTGGCGTACCGCACGACACTTTCAAGCCTTTCGTCATCTTCTGAGCGAGACCGAAATCTATAATCTTGATTTTATTGCTATTCTTCCGTACGCATAGGATGTTCTCTGGCTGTAGGAAGGAAATAGAACAGAATCGAAAAGATAACCTACTGATTAAAACTGGTGAGGGTTTGCGGTTACACCATGTGGAAGAGTCTCTTTTGAGAAGATGTGTGATTCTGAAAAGAACTGGTCGGTTGAAAAACTTGACGTTCTGATCAGTATGCTCTGTTCGTCCGCAGATGATCAGAGCACACTCACTAGTTTACAATACCGCCATGCAAACTTTCAAATCTTGTTTGATTAAAACTGATAGAAGTTACACCAATGAATGAAAATTATTTTGAGGATCTAGTTCATCAAGGTCTGAAAATGATAATAAACATTTATAATGCGCACTCGTCCAACTAAAGATATAGGCGATCATGGTGCAACAAAAAGGAAACTAAACTAAACAAACAACTTCTAGATGCTACTTGAAAATGTGATAATTTACAAAAACAAAAACAAAAAACAAAACAGAAAAAGAAATTAGCTGTTTCGCCACCTAAAGAAACACAAGAGTTTCAAAAAATTGCATACTCTACTTCGTTATTTACAAAATTGGATAAGTAAGATTTGAGGCTTTGCATGGTGGAGATACTAAATAATGAAAGGTTTGCGGAAACACCATGTGCGAATAAATGAGTTTATACCTCTGGTTCTGTTCAGAACCATTCTCTTAGTTGAGAAATTCCGCAAACCTTTCATTATTTAAAATTGGATAAGAGAAAATATTCTTACTTTCATGTCCAGATGTAGAATCTTTTGAGCGTGCATGAATTTAACACCTTCGCATATTTGCCGCATAAAGAAAGTGACTTCCTTTTCCGTCAGGTCAAACTCTTCATCAATGACCCTCTCGAACAATTCACCTCCTGATACACTGTAAATACAAAGTGGTTGTGACAGACTGTAGTTCTGGACTCCAAGTTCTTATTTTCTTTGTGAAAGAAGTCTTTTTGGAAGGGGAGGGGAGAAGGCTCATGTTATCATTGCTTTCATAAAACTGACAGTGTACCATATACAGGGCGAGTCAAAAAAGCGAAACCCAAATGTCGGGACCATTGTTTTAGTGAAGTTCTGCATGTAGCCATTTCAAAATTTAGGATATGAAAGCCCGATTCATAGGCTTTCTTTTCGTGCAACGATCACTGAAATCACTCATGTACTTTTAAAGTTAGGGAATTTTAAACAAAACCACCGTTTTAACGTTCTGTCCACGGATCACGAGAAGGCAAGTGTTCTTTCAGCAAAACGAAAACAAATCACATAGGGATGTGTGTCAATTGTGTTCATTTTGCTGAAAGAACGCACACCTTTTTTGTGATCCGTGGACAGAACTTTAAAACGATGGTTGTGTTTCAAATTCCGTAACTTTAAAAGTACATGTACATGAGTGATTTGAATGATTCTGGTACTAAAAGAAAGCTTATGAATTGGGCTTTTATATCCTAGATTTAGAAAGTGCTTAGAACTTCACTAGAAAAATAGTCCCCACAATTGGGTTTCGCTTTTTTTGACTCACCCTGTATTTTTTTGAAAGTGTCTGGAAATTGATCTCATCTCAGCAAAGACTACAGTGATGATGTAAGACTCATAAATCAGGGTTTTAGACATATTTGAGTACATCACAAGTAAATCGCTAGTCAAATTGCAAGTAAAATAAAAAGACAATCACAATCAGCTCAACAGGGGATGAACATCGTCAACGAAATGGCTTGTTCAAAGTTCATGTAAAAAGCTTACAACTTCAATTTAACCTGGGTAACTTGTGATTGACTTTTAGTGACATGTGACGACTTGTGACTGACTCCATCACAAAGCCGTCATCATCTTCTACCAGTGTTGCAGTATTCGTACTCCGTACAACTTCAGTACTTTTGTGAGAATACTTGTACTCGCACTCATACTCCAATATCGTAACACTCAGCCTCGAACTCAATGTACTCGTACTCGAGAAGCAGAGTACTTGGACTCCACCATTAGATACTGTACTCCATCATCAAAGTAATCGTACTTGATAAATAAGGACTTGGAGGAAAACTCGAGTAATTGAATTTTTGAACGGACTTGAGAAATCTTCCTATTTTTATGCAGTGTTGCTGAATTCCACTCAGTACTTGAGATTTTTTTTTTTTTGCTTGAGTACTCCAGTAGTACTTGAACTCAGAGGTCCACTCAGAGGTCCAAGTACTCATACTTTTACTCGGAGGTTCGAGTACTCGTACTCGGAGGTCCAAGTACTCGTACTTGTACTCGGAGGCCCAAGTACTGGTACTTGTACTCAGAGGGCCAAGTACTCGTATTTGTACTCGGAGGCCCAAGTACTCTTACTTGTACTCAGAGGGCCAAGAACTCGTCTTGGAGGCCCAAGTACTCGTACTTGTACTCGGAGGCCCAAGTACTCGTATTTGTACTCAAGAGGCCCAAGTACTTGTAATTGTACTTAGAGGCCCAAGTACTGGTATTTGTACTCAGAGGGCCAAGAACTCGTACTCGGAGGTCCAAGTTCTCATACCCAGCGTTGCAAACCTTGTACTCGAAGGTCCAAGTACTTGGACTCGGGTACCTGTACACGTTCTGTATTGGTACTTTATAGCTTGGTACTCGGCAGTACTTTGTACTCAGATAAAAATACTCAACTACAACACTGTCTGCAACCATAACCATTGAAAGACAAGAAGACACTAACTTACTATTCTAGAATCATAACCATGTTGTTTCCTGTAGCAAATGCGTCGTACAGCTGAAGTAGTTTGGGGTGTTGTAGAACCATCATGATTTCAATTTCATGTTCACACTGGTGAAATACAAAATCAAATCATACCATGTCTGACAAAGTGAAACAAGTTCAATTGACCGAAATTGGATAAACAAAAAAGACTAGCAGCATTTAGGCAGATTTTTTTTTAAGAAGTGTTCCTTCGTTAAAAAGCCTGAATGAATTGTAATTGCACAAAGAAATAGACCTTTTTTTCCTGAGTTTATCTTCATCTTGTGAAGGAAAAACTAAGGAGACAAACTCCATCAGAAAATACTGGTCTCAATCTAAACAACAACAAAATCTTAAACTTTAACGCCGGTTTCATACTGGCATTCCAGTGTTGCATCAAACTAAACCATATTACGAGCAATTCAGGTAGATCTAGAAAGACTAAATAGTAATTTCCATTGAATTAACTCTGGAGCCACCTTTGATCAATAGTTGATCTTTTGATGTGATCACTCCTGTGTCAAATGTTAAACTGTTCATGCACATGTATGTAACTTTGATCTTTGGAATAATTTGGTTTGAAATGACCTCAAAAAGGGTGTCAATCTAACACAAGAATTGGACAAGAAAAGTTTAAATTGCAGAGTTACCTCTTTTTTGTCAGCTGGTTTTTCGGCTTTGATGAATTTGGCTGCCAACATTTTCTTTGTTTTCTTCTCCACACACTTGTTTACCGTTCCAAACTTGCCCCTGAGGAAAATCAGAATCCAGAAATTATTCACAATGGAAAGACGGACGAAGTTCACACTTTAGTACCACACTCCTTAACTTCAATACACTACCACTTAAATCTAGGTGACACTAATTTGTTGCCTACATTGAGAAAAAAAAATATAATGTAGTGATTAACTTGAACTAAGGCCTGTTTCTATTTTTTAGGCTTCACTCTAAAAGCTACAGGGAAGTGGGGCCTAGCGGTTAGGGTTTGTGACTCGTGATCAGAGGGTCAGGGGTTCGAATCCAGCTGCTGGCCATATGTTGTGTCCTTGGGCAAGCTACTTCACCCCCACTTGCTTCTCTGCATTCAGCAGTATACATAAATAGATACCGGCATTCGCTAGGAATTAACCTGCGGATGACTGGCATCTGAACCAAGATTAATAGAAATATTCTCAGTTGTTTCATGTCAAGGAAACTGTAGATAAATGCCTGACTTCACTTCATGTTCAACTCTATCTTCCATTTTCCTCAACTTACCTTCCAAGTTCTTCTCTTATCTCGTACATGTCTTTGACATTTTCTTTTCTGACTTTGACCTTCCTCTGTTCAAATGCGGCCTCATCTGAAGGTGGAAAATACTTCATATTAATGAGCTCACAAAGGTTAGACAATTCTCAGACAGCGCGTTCCAGAGTTGTGCTGAATCAAGATGTATTCAAAATGACTCAAGTCAGCCCAAATGTAATTCGGTTCCAGATGGGCAAACTTTATGTACTAATTTTCCATTGACTAGATTCTGAAGTCATTTTTAAACAACTGAAACAGTTGAATTTTTTGGCCCCTAATCAGTCCCGGTTGTTTCAAAAGACAAACTTCAATTCTTGAAGAAAGAGTTTACACGTATGTTGGGATAGAAAGAGGAAGAATGGCTCAATATTACAGAAAACGAGAGAAAGATAAAAGGAAAAAGAAAATTCACAAACCTGGCTCATCCTCTTCATCAACATCATCCTCAGCTTTTAAGACAAAGAAAACAGAGAAACGTTAAAATTTACCCTCCAAATACAAACTTGGTTATTTTAATCAACAAAATCTCCATAATCACATTTTAAAAAAAGGCTTTGATAAGTCATGATTTATTTACGCTCAACTACTTTCCTGTATGAGTTGTTCATTTCTTGAGCAACTTGTAACGGAAAAAACCCTTCTCCTTTCAGGTTCATGTGTAACGAAACCCGCTGCAGTAGCGTATAAAGTTCAATTCAGGACCCTTTCATTGGAAGTAAAAGTCAAGAATTGATCTATTTGAATGTAAAGTGGGAAATTCCTAGTCTCCCATCTGCTGAAATCCAAAACATTCCCTTTACAAAACCCTACATGATTTCGTCTACTTTCTTCCTCAAAGACGACGATGAAATTGTTTTATAGATTTCATTTTTGTTTTAATAGCATTGAGGAGATGTAAATTCAATAATCAGTTTAACCACACACCGACACAGTTTTATAAGCACTGTATACTCATTGCTATTTAGGACGTTTTTCAAGAACTCAAACTCACGACCTCCTGTCCACTAGTGCAGACGTCTTACCACTTAACCATCCATGTAAGATTGTGAAAGTTTTACTTACAAACACTCAGACAGTGCTGAGTATACAGGGTGAGTCAAAAAAAGCGAAACCCAAATGTCGGGACCATTGTTTTAGTGAAGTTCTGCATGTAGCCATTTCAAAATCTAGGATATGAAAGCCCAATTCATAGGCTTTCGTTTAGTACAAGAATCATTCAAATCACTCATGTACTTTTCAAGTAATGGAATTTTAAACACAACCACCGTTTTAAAGTTCTGTCCACGGATCACAAGAAGGTAAGTGTTCTTTCAGCAAAACGAAAACAAAATACCATAGGGATGTGTGTGAATTGTTTTTGTTTTGCTGAAAGAACACACACCTTTTTTGTGATCCGTGGACAGAACTTTAAAACGGTGGTTGTGTTTAACATTCTGTAACTTGAAAAGTACATGAGTGATTTGAATGATTCTTGTACTAAAAGAAAGCTTATGAATTGGGCTTTCATATCCTTGATTGTCAAAGTACTACATGCAGAATTTCACTAAAACAATCGTCCCGACATTTGGGTTTCGCTTTTTTTGACTCAAATCTGTACCTGTTTCTGACGTCATGATAGGTTCTGAGATGATGCTAGGCTTGCTGGTGCCCACGGCGTTCACACAACAGACCCGGAATTTGTAGGTACAGTTCTCCTTCAGCCCCTTGATGGCATAGCTGGTGCTGAAGACGTTCTTAGTCAGCACTTTCCAGTTGTTCTTGCCGTCTTCGCACATCTCTACCTGGTAGCCGGTCACGATGCTGCCCCCATCGTACGTCGTCCCCGGCCAGACCAAGTTGACCATGTCTTTGAAGACCTTGGCCGCGTACGGCTTGTTGGCAGGGGGTTCCGGAGCCTCTGAGAGTGGACAGTATCAATGATGTATTATCAGCAGAACTTACTTCAAAAATTGAAAAAAAACTTAATCTCTGCCATTCCCAACTGACCAATACAAAATTGCTATTTTAAGAAAGTGTCTGTGGTCCCCTCATCAGACATGAATAGACTTATTATCTTTAAACAATTGAATGAAAAAATTGTTTTGATGTAAAACAGCCAGGAAATAGCCTGAGCCCCAGAAAAACGATTCCATTTTTGAATAATTTCATCCTCTTTACATTGTTAGATGTTGATAAACACGATTTCTGGGGTTTTTTTGCTCTTCAGGGTTGATATATATATTCAAACTGGTAAAAACTATTTGAATATTTGGTTTATGATCGAATATTTGAGTATTCGATATATTGGGAACAGCCCCATTAAGTATCATTGGATTAATATCAATCATTTAAGTGCTATTAAAAGTTTTGTCAAGTTCATGTGCTATACATAACACAAAAGCAATAACTGAGACAATGAAAACAAACACTTCCGTATCCAAGTAGAAGTGACCAATAAGGTAAAACAAAATCCTGTTTAAGGGAATGTACAACATTTGCTTTTGCTGCAATTTTCAGAAATAAATGGATTTGGAGGATAAGTACGTTATAGAAAATATTGTTAAATTGACTTAATTCAAGTTTTGGGCTTGTAGATGCTGAAAAAAAAAAGAAAACCTATCATATTCTTGTAGTCTGGTTCCCTGACCCCACTTAAGATGAAACGGAGCAATTAATACACTTTGGGGAATTTCAAGGTCAGAGAATAAGTCTAGCAAGCTTGAACCCCTTCACAGGTGTGTAATCAATTGCAAAGAAAAGTCAGAATAACTAAATATGAAAAAGTAGGAACACTTTTTGAAAAAACCCCAGTTTTCTTGGACGCTGGTCGGCTGACCAGCGTTGGAAAAATACACTTTTTCTTGAAAATGACAGCACACCAGGAGCCACGGTTTTAAAGGATGCTTTAGACTGTCATTCCCTAACAATTCAGTAAGGTATTACGTGACAATTTGATCATTCCGTTCTTTGATGTTTGCAAATGTTGTATCTTCCCTTTAAACAGGAAGAAGATTTTTTAAAATGTGCATCAGCCGGAAGTTATTTCCCTTCGTTGATATTTGTGTCATTTCGAAGATGTCACAGCTGATAGATATAGACTCAAGGTATAAGTGTCGGATATATTAAGTGCATAGCTCGACTATAAATAGATATTTCAACAGCTGTTCAGCCAAACAATTTCTATATTAAGATCGGATCCGTCGGGAGTTGACGACTGATTCGTCGGGACCGGACATGTATAGCTTACCTGCAGGCATGGTGTCTACTTGTCACTGCAGCAGGGAGAAAGGGAGAGAAAAATTCAATAAAACAAGAGACAATTCAATAAAACAATTACAGCTGTTTAAATCATAGTTACTTATAAAAATGAAAAACAACAGTTTATTATAGTCCAAAGTCACACAAGATTGGAGGAAAACAGGTTTTGACGCCAATTTAATTGTTTACCTTAAAAGTTTTAAGTAATACAACTATAAATATAAATGTGTTCACTACAGAGTTCAAACTTTCTAAAGAATCCTTACATACACAACACCCAACAACGTACAATGTACAGTCTCTCTGCTGCCAAAATCTGGTTCCCATTTTTTGGGCCAGTTTCAGATGAACAGAAAGCTACAAAACACAATTCTGAATAATCTACGAAAAGTAGACACTATCGTCATGTAACGCTGTCGCCATCAAAACTCCTTGATAACCTTTGACATAGGCCAGAGGGGTGACCATAAACCTTGATAGCTCAAGATCTCATGGAGACTTTCCATCGAGAAATCACCATCATTTCACCAAAGACTGCAAAATCCCTTTACTTTCCATCCAGTGACGTTGGGCATCAATTACACGAAGAAACGCCAGAGTTCTCATTCACAATATGCATATCTCCAGATCTGTATAAACATCGATGATCGATTTCCATTTCTATAAACAGCTCGTTTCTTACCAAGTTGTACTTCCCTGGACAGTCAGCCCAATTTGTTTATCCAGTGAACATCAATGTACTTTCCAACACCACAGAAAAGTTCGCATCGATTGGAAGCAAGACAAATACTCCCGGAGACCACAATCTCCGTGTTTGTATCATTAGCAGTGTTCTTGGTTGATAAGACAAACTTTTCTGGTATTTACTTTCTGATGACAGTGCCGGAAAGAAGACACAAGCAGCTTAAGATATCAGTCCAATCCTATGTCTCCATCAGACAAAAAATAAAGGCATCTCTTATCTTACGGGCAGGGCCTACTTTCCCGGAGGGGGAGAATTTACGCTGTCTCCCATAACGTATGTCGGCACGTCTCAAGAAAGTACAGCCCGAGCATTGAAACTACCAAAACAAACACAACTAATCATTCCATAACTTTGATTTGAATATTAATCTTATCTTTGGAAACCAAAATAGTCGGTAAAGATGTTCTCTTTTGTTAACCAAACCCCCTTTAGAGTAAATGGAACATCCCGGTACCAGTGAGATGCGGAGGAAAGATTCTTAAGGTGCAGCAATCTCATATGGGATGCAGGGCCAGTGCAGAATGCTCCCTAACCATTCGCTCCCACAGAGAGCAAGTCCTTGAGGGATATATTACGACCTACGTCATCACCCTGGTTGGCATTTACCATCTGACGTAGTTCCCGACCCAAGTAATGTTCGTGGCATGTTTTTTCTCTAATCTCCCCACAAGCTTTTCCTCGGAAAAACCAGGGGGGTAATTAATGCAATCTGGATGTGTTGTTTGTTCCCAAATACTAAAGGGGAAGGTCGGAGTTACAAATGCAGATGTGTAAACAAATATAGAATTATAGAAAACAAGTTGGAAATGCTAGTAGTAAACTTTATGAGATATGGGTCATTCGATAAATTGGGGTCCAAAAGTATGACACTTTCTTTGTTTCTGTGACACCTGACCCGTGCAATTTGCCACGCAAGTATCATTAAAATTGTCTTCAAACTATTTTTATTTGTTTGGCAGGTATTTAGCTTTACACAATCACTTTTGGAGATGTAAGGAAATACAGAATGTGTCATGAAATAACAAAAACTTATATCAGATGTAGCAGGGACACGAAAAATAATTGAACCCCAAATTTATGGAACAACCTTCATCTTTAAACATGAAAAAAAATGAAGTTTTTATTTCAAAACTTTCAATGATGGAAATCTTTTCAAGGGACTCACACTAACTTAGCAACTGTAAAACGGTACAGCAAAACAGACTTAACCCTCACAGTCTTCTTTTTTTTTCATCCAAACCCAGAACTTGCCAGTTCTACCACCATTGGGTCAAATTATTTAAACACTGATCGCTGCAGCTGGATATTATGGGGTAAAGAAATTAGCAACAAATCCTCTGGTTTTTTTTCTTTCAAATTGTTACTTTTGGAAAACCTGGCAGAGCTACAGGCACAACATTTAAAAAGTTAAGGACTAGTGAAGGTTTGATTATAATGCAAAACTAGGGCTGTGCATCGGAACCGGGTGCCCGAGTACCCGACCGTTCATGTCAGGAACCGGTTCCAGATTAAGGAAACGGGTACCCGCAACCAACTTGACAAATTATCAAGTAACTTCTCAGACAATAACAAAGAAAGGTTTCGAATGTCATTTGTGGAGGATGTCAAAATGAAAACCAGGCTACATGGGAAAACAAGACATATTTCACATTTATGACGCTGGTATTTAAGCTGTATTTAAGCTCACTGTACACACTTGTATCTTGCTGTATTGGCGCACCGATGTGGAAGTATTATGGTGCGGACCTTTATGAACAATCTAAACAGCAACTTCCGAGATTTGAAATTCGGGTTTCTTTCAAGGGTACCCGGTTTTGTTCAATCAGGTACCCGGTTCTCATACTACCCGTAAATGCACAGCCCTATGCAAAACTCTGTGAAACAACACAGAAACACACAAAACCTTGAAGAACTTAAGAAAAAAACAAAAACAAAGACAAGCTAACATTACTCGGACACTTCCACAACCAAAAGCAGTTTTTGTAACTACTTTGTGATGATGAATTAATAATTCAATTTGACTTCTATCATTCCTAAGTAAGAGCAGACGTTTTAGTTTGCCGGAGAAATTATGTTGATGGGTTTGATGGTTAGAATTACAGCGGTTGCATGCCTTGCATAGCCAGCTGTGGTAGGGGGCTTGCATAAAGGAGCACGGTGAAACAGAATACCTAACTTTCAAGGGATGTAATCGCAATAATTTCTTTTCTTTTTTGATAATTGTTTTCAAAAGATTAGAAAAAATAGTAACTTTGAAAGAAAATGTATTCATTAATAAATTCAAAATTTGGTGAAAATGTCCAAATTTTGTTTATTTGAACCTGCATTGGTGCAGGGTGATATTTTTTTTCCCTGTTTATGTCTCAAGAATTAACACTCACAGGAATTAACATATTATTAAACCCTAAAACAAAAGAGCAAATTGAACAAACAATTACTGAAACTTCAGAATCAATTTAAAGTGTGCAATGAAGAGTTTGGTATGCATACCAGCGACAAGAGTTCAGGTTCTATTTCAAAATTGATTGATTCAATTTTGGTATGATTTGTACTCAGTAAAGATACAGAGTAAGGAAAACTATGTTTCAAAAAATGAAGGTACATGTAAGTCCTTAGAATATAACTGAAGGAAATATCACTGCTGTTGCATTGTACAGAAATTTGAGTAGAAAATGTAAAAAATGCCGGAAACAAATGAGGATTACACAATTTGTTTTCATACACTAGTTGAAATGAGAGGATATTTCAAATTAATAATTGAATAAATTGTTGATTTTCAGGAAACGCCCCCCCCAAAAAAATACAACAATACAACGAATAGGACTAGATTAAGTTTAAGTAAATAAAGCCATGTAAAAAATACCCTAAATAATTTGTCTTCACCTGTGCTTTTTAAACCATACTCCTGAAAAAGAGAAAACATGTAAGTATGAGTGTACACTTATAATTTAATTATAGGTTAATAACAAATTGAATTAAACAAACAAACAAACACACAAACAAACAGAGACACTGAAAAGAATCGGACTAATTTTATTTTGCAGTGAAAATGAAACATAAGAAATCAAATATTATGTTCAAACAGAAATATTATAGAAGCAAGCTTTGAATACTGAACATAGTCAAAGCAACCGAGGACTTCTAAAAATAATCAAGGATAAACATTACGTTATTAATAGATTAAATCAATAAATCTTACAATAGAACATTTACAAACTCATCAGCTGTTGAACTCGGCTTTTTTTAATGTAATTTTCAGATTACCCCTTCCCCTCAAAAAGTCACACACAAAAAAGAATCATACAACATTGGCAATGAGCCCCCAATAACCTTTAAAGCAGCATAAATCATACATCAAACACATCTATCAATTTTGAAATAATTTAAGCAAATTAGCGACAGCTATGAACGGAGGAGAAAAACCACGACACAACAAATAGTCCTTCGCCAATGCAGGTGACAACTTTGAGAGAAGAGTTGGACAGAAGTCGTTCGGGAAGATACAAAATGTATTACTGTTCGTCCAATTACAAATTTCAAAATGGAGGCACGACATAGCCAGGCATCATGATGCAGCATACTTCAAATTCCTTTCAGCAGTGCACGAAAGGTCCATCCACTATTACCATCCTCGGTTTACCATTTGTTTTATCAAAATGTCTTCCGAGGGGCAAAAAGAGTCTTCCGAGTAACAAAAAGACACTTTAAAAAACAAATGAGACAAAAGCATTGAATAATTTCTTATCCAACAATGGCAAGAATATGGAAAAGATTTGAAAGACAGAACTCACCACAAAAATCAGCAGAGAAGTACCAGCATCCAATATGGTTGCCTTCCACACCGTGATAAAAGTATGACAAAAATTCTGCTTGCAAGCCTGAGCTACATGTACACGCTGGCTAGCATCCCCCTATCTGTAGCTGTGTGTATACGTAAGAGATGTCCCTGGCCAAACCTGGACAGCAAAGGATCATGGGTAATTTCCCAACTCCGGAGCTCGCAGATGGAGTCTGCATGGGAGGTTCAAGGCAGAAAGAGCAGGCTTAGTAAAGAATTGCAGGGTGCTTTTTTTTCCCTCCTTGCAACGGGAAGCCCTGAGGCAATGGCAAAAACCTACAAACAAACAAACATGTCTAAGACAAGCAATCCGCAGAACATGCAGTCAATGATATGTGGAAATACACAAGCCATATATTCTTACATTCACATGTAAACTTAGATCAAAATTTTACAAGCTAAACATGGAAGATATTTTGGATAATTTGGCACTGTATTTCTGAGGAAGTTAGTATACAAAACTTACAGGGATAAGTTTGTGTTGATTAAGTGAATAAAATGTTACCGACTTAGTATACTTCTTTTTAATTGCAATGTTTAACTGGGAGGGCATATTTCAAAAAGTATTTAAATGAAAGCCCCTCTTAAGATGGATAACAGAGTTGAGTTTCATTCTGCTCAAAATAAAACTGGAGAAAGGACAAACATTACCATCAAAGGCTCAATGTACATGTAAATAATCGTTAATGAAAATTCAGAGATATTCAAACTCTCCCACATCACGAGCCCCTTCCATTTACATAGCAGATTCCATCCTCCTGGTATGCCTGGCATTCACAACCATATATGGTCAAGGAGTTCAACTCTTAGCCAATCACGGGAAAGCATGTGGGGAGTATGCTAAATAGAGTACGGCAGCTGCCAGGGGTCTCCCACCACTATTTTGACACGGGTTGAAAGTGGTATTTAATGTTGATAGTGATTTAGAAGAAAATGAATATACACACACTAGGGTTTCATTATAATTTGGTGTTTTGACACGGAATCGTCAGACAGTAGATTTTGGTGTTGAATGAACAGGACGATAATGGGGTCATTTGAGGATGTTTGTGATATCAGAGATGCATTATGCTGAGTAACACCATTATTTATTAAAGGTCTTGGATAGCACGGATCTATATCTGAGAACAAATGAGAAAACACTAGTTACATTATTGAACAAATTAAGAATTCTCTTGTGTACATGTTATGTTTGCCAAAAGTTAATTACTAGTATAATATAATTTTCATAATTAATGACATGGTGATGAACAAAATTAAATTTTACCATCAAATATAATTAAATGAAATAATATTTTTTTCTGGGTTTTTTTTTTCACCAAATAGGCCCTACTTGAGTTTTTATTCACCAGTTACAAGATTCTATCAACCATCACAATAGGTGAATATTCATTAAAATATTTACATAAAATCATTGATTCATTGATTGATATAAATTTTATTTCTTTTCACTTGTACACAGCTTTGCTTGTGAATATAGCAAAATTGAAACCCTGTTGTTTATAATTAACATGTACTGTGATACTAAACATAGCCCCTATCTGTTTATTATGGAATTAAGGAATAATTGTACGACTGATTTATTGAATCTTAGTGTTCCAGTCGACAGGGGTACACTGTTTATGTCCTACCAGATCGCCAACATGCCTAAAATATTTCGGGTGGGCCAAGTTTAAAGATAGAATCCAAATCAACC